TGAAGCTTTATAACCAAGCGTTGTTTCCACAATAAGCTGAATTTTTCAAAATTTGATAATTACAGGGACAGAAAGTGAGGAGGAATTTTCTGAACAGGGCACAAAAAGCAAAACAAACACCACGGGGGTGTTAACCCTTTCCTGTGCTATCCAATGCTTTTACACACACAACACACGGCTGGAGTTACACTTAAAAATGTATCTGTTCCAACTTACAAACAAATACAACTTAAGAACAAACTACAGAATCTTTTTATAACTGCCTGTATACATAATTTCTGAATTGTTGGTCTTTTCCAGATATTCTGAAAAGCAGGACAAGAAGTATTCCCCAAACAAAACTCACTGTTAAAGCTCCATTGCATGTACTGGTCTACTGTCTGTATATACTAGACTTTCTTCAAACACAGCAAAATCCTTCTACATATGGAACTTTTGTATGTGATATTGAATTCAACTAATACAATCAATGTCATGTCTGATGACTGCAAACACATGTCTCCTGCTTCATACACATTTGCTGGGAAGCAACAATCGCAATTCCACACCTAATTACTAGAGGAAGAACTATATTAGGTCGCTGGTGCAAAAAAAATCTTGCAACACCTTAAAGACCAACTAACACATTGCAATAGACATAAGGTTTTATGGTCTGCAGACAACTTGTATCCGAAGAAGCCTATGAGAACGTATACCAAACAAAACAAGCAGATATTGAAGAGAGGCTACATTATACTTAGCCAGACTACAAGTCTACACAAAAGCAGTACTATTTACTACTATAACAGGCAGAGGTTCTTTAAGATCTCAGGCAGATATCTTTCTCAACCCTGCTATGCTTTGAACAGGAGATGCTAGGGATTAAATCAGGAGCCTGTACAGGCAAAAACAGAGCAGCCTTTCCGGGGTTTAAAAATGCAATGCCAATGTGCAGAAACCTGTCCTCTGTCCAGCAGCAAAAAAAATGGCATTAAGCATGGCAAAGAGGGGATTAAGGCTTAACACAATGGCTTAAATCCTACTAGAGTAGACTGCTTGAATCCATGTAATATACACAAGTGATGATTTACCACTCAGCAATTAAATCACTTGGTTGTGGTCTAGTTAAGAGTTAGAAAATTGATATCATCTTTTACAGGCATTCCACAAGACTACTCTTAATTTCAATAACGCAAATGTGTATATGCCACATTTTTTTAACTTCCAGAATAACAAATAAGCCTATCAGGAGACTGGAGTGGAGTCTATGTTGTGATATTTAAGACATGCACCCAGGTACATACATTTAAATGCTTTCTGAATGTAGATGTGCATTCTTCCTTATAGTTTATTGTATATACAGAAATTGAGAGAAATCCTTCAGGTACGGAGTCTAAACTATAGAAATTCCACATTTCTTATAAGTATCAGACTCTATAAGAAGTGGCCCCCCATCTGTGGAACTCACTCCCCGGGGAGATTAGATCGGCAACGTCCCTCCTTTCATTTAGGAAAAAGTTGAAAACCTGGATATGGGACCAGGCATTTGGACATCATGGCAGCTAAAGAAAGACCTGATGACGAGCTGGAATTTGACGAGACGGAATGGATTTACGAAACTCCGAACGCTGAGCTCAGGATTAGTCTACTACTGTGTTACTGTAATTTTTGTGTAGTGATGTTTTAAAATTTTTTAATATGTAATTCTTTAATTTGTTTATATATGTATGTTTATGTGATAAAGGAATCGAATTGTGCCTTCCTCTGTAAGCCGCCCTGAGTCCCCCCCCCGGGGGTGAGAAGGGCGGGGTAAAAGTGACGGAAATAAAATAAATAAATATATGCAGGCATAATTGCACTGAGGCCCCTTCTACATTGCCATATAATCAAGATTATCAAAGCAGATAATCCACATTATCTGCTTTGAATTGGATTATATGAGTCTACACTGCCTAATCCACTTCAAAGCAGATAATATGGATTGTATATTGCAGTGTAGAAGGGGCTTTAGCGTGTGTCTACATTGTAAGAATTGACAGCACTTTAACTGACAAGACAATGTTACTGAATCATAAGAGTTGTGCCTAGCACTATTAGGCAAAGAAGGCTAAATGCTTTTTAAAACTACAACTTCAATGAGCCTATATAACTGAGCCACGGCAGTTAACGTGCTGTCAAACTACACATATTCTAATCTACAGTGTAGATATGCCCTTAGCTTTATGCATGCTACATCATTCTTAAAGCTGTGACGGTCGTCTTCTTCCTCTCACTCTTTTCTAGCAAGGGTGAAACATGTGTAGCCAACCGAGTACTGCTGGCTACAACTCCCATCATACCTAGCGAGCACAGAGGCCAGAGGTAAAAATTTCACAACATTCAGATAGTTACATGCTCCTCATTCCTGCAATATGAAGAGAAGCACGTTCAACAGCCACCATTTCTCATTCAATCTGGAGTACTTGTTAACTCCTAGTTTCAGAAAGGAATACATCTTGCATCATTGCCCTATGCATTCCACCCCTATTTTTCTGGTCTCTATGGAGAGACCCTTAGTGCAGTGGTTCTCAACCTGTGGGTCCCCAGATGTTTGGGCCTTCAACTCCCAGAAATCCTAACAGCTGGTAAACTGGTTGGGATTTCTGGGAGTTTTAGGCCAAAATACCTGGGGGCCCACAGGTTGAGTACCACCGGCTTTGTGGTCCTTTGCCCCTACTTATCTCTTACACCCACTCACACAAACACAGAGATGGATAACGGCAGGGGCAGAAGCCACAGGGTGCATCTTGAATGAATGCAGTTTGACACCGCATTAACTGCCATATCTCCAAGCCATGGAATCATGGGAGTTGTACCCAAGGCCTTTAGCGTTCTCTGGCAAAGAGTGCTGGTGCCTCACCAAACTATAACCCCCCAGGATTCCATAGCATTGAGCCATAAAATTAGGTTCACACTGCATGGATAATGCAGCCGTAGTGATCTGTGCAACCCCTTCCCGACCCTCGCGCATGCGCACTCCCAGGCGCAGCTTATCAGCCAGTCCCCCCCGCCCCGCCATTCCCGAGCAAATGGTTCCACCTTTGCGCTCAACACGCCTGTAGTGCTGCGTGTTGACTCGCCGTCCCTCCCTCCGGCCAGGAATCCGTGGGGGCCCTCCCCACCTCCTTCCCCTTAATGCGTCCTTCTCAACCCCACGTACCCAGAAACCACTATGCTATGGGCTCCTGGGAGGTGCTACCTTGACAATGCCTTCTGGGGACCCTTCCACACAGCCACATAACCCAGAATATCAAGGCAGAAAATACCACAATATCTGCTTTGAACTGGGGGCCCTGAATAGAATCCTACATATTCTGCTTTGAACCAGGATATATGGCAGTGTAGACTCTGATAAAACAGTTCAAAGCAGATATTGTGGGATTTTTTTTGGCCTTGATATTCTAGATTATATGGCTGTGTGGAAGGGCCCGAGGTTATCTGAGTTCACACTGCCATATATTCCAGTTCAAAGCAGATAATCTGGGATATTATTCAGCTGTGTGGAAGGGCACTGGTGTCTCACCCAAACGAACTGCAACTCCCAGGATGCCACAGCAATGACAAATAACTCAGGCAGCTCCAAACCACGTCCATTCTCCAGTACAGAAGGGGCATCCCTAGTTTCCTCAGAATATATCCACATTGACATGCTAGAAGACCACCCTTCCCTGGTGTGGGGACAACAACGGGCCTTCCACACAGCCCTATATCGCAGAACATCAAGGCAGGAAATCCCACATTATCTGTGTGTGGACACAGATAACCCAGTTCAAAGCAGACATTGTGGGATTTTCTGCTTTGATATTCTGGGATATAGGGCTGTGTGGAAGGGTCCAATAACAAACCACAAACTCCAGACTTTGTCGTAGTAATTAAAGTGGTGTCAAACCCTGTGGCCAAGTTTACCCTCATGTCCCCTCCACACAGCTGAATAAAATCCCACAATATCTGCCTCGAACTGGGCTATATGGCAGTGAACTGGCATATATAGTAAGGTGGACTCTGGGCCCTTCCACACAGCCCTATATCCCAGGATATTGAGGCAGAAAATCCCACAATATCTGCTTTGAACTGGGTTATCTGAGTCCATGTTCAGATAATGTGGGATTTATTGTCGAAGGTTTTCATGGCCAGAATCACTGGATTGTTGTAGGTTTTTTTGGGCTATATGGCCATATTCTAGAGGCATTTTCTCCTGATGTTTCGCCTGCATCTATGGCAAGCATCCTCAGAGGTAGTGAGGTCTGTTGGAACTAGGAAAATGGGTTTATATATCTGTGGAATGACCTGGATGGGGCAAAGAACTCTTGTCTGCTGGAGCTAGGTGTGAATGTTTCAACTGACCACCTTGATTAGCATTTGATGGCCTGGCAGTGCCTGGGGCAATCTTTTGTTGAGAGGTGATTAGGTGTGCTTGATTGTTTCCCCTCTGTTGTTTTGCTATTGTAATTTTTGAATTTTTAAAATACTGGTGGCCAGATACTTTGCCCCACCCTGGTCATTCCACAGATATATAAACCCATTGTCCTTTCCAACAGACCTCACTACCTCTGAGGATGCTTGCCATAGATGCAGGCGAAACGTCAGGAGAAAATGCCTCTAGAACATGGCCCTATAGCCCGAAAAAACCTACAACAACCCAATGTGGGATTTCCTGCCTTGATATTCTGGGATCTAGGGCTGTGTGGAAGGCCCTCAGCTTCTGTGAGGCGGTGTTTACATCTCAACACGCAGGGTCACACTCACACTGCGAACGCATTCACACGCACAAATGCGGGCCCGGTTTGGCCGCCGTGGGGGGCCCCGACCTGAGGAGAATGACCCAGAGAGAGGGCGAGAGGCCTGCTCCTTCCCTGCCTCCTCTTTCTCTTCCCAGTGCGGCCTAGGGAGCCTGGCTGGAATGTGGAGGCCGAGGAAGGAGGAGGAGGAGGCGGCGTTTTGTGGGGAGCCCGGGCCGTCCTCCTCCGCCACCGCTGCCTTACCCTGCATGCTGCTGACGGTGGTGTGCGCCGCCGCTTGGGGCCCAGAGCCGGAGCCAGGGCCAGGGCCGGGAGCCGCCATTGTGCAGCGCCTCAGACGCCCAGCGAGGGAGGGAGGGAGGGAGGCAGGGAGGGAAGGGGAGGGAGGCTGCAATGCAGCAGAGGAGAGGCGTAGAACGGGCCCCTTCGCCTCGCGCCCTCCCTCGCGCCCTCTCTCTCTCTCTCTCGCGCCCTCGCGCACGGGCTCCCTCAGGCCTCAGTCCGCGAAACTTGCCGCCGCCGCTGCCGCCGCTTCCCTCCCGCCCTCACGGCATCACGGATTACCCCTCCTTCCTTCCTTCCGTCCTTCCTCCTTCCGTCCGTCCGTCCTTCCTTCCTTCCCAGGCAGCCGGAGGAGGAGGAGGCGCCTCCGAGGGAGGGACAGCCGAAGAGCCCGCCCCAGTTGCCACCCCTCTTCTAGGGAACGGGGGCAGGGTAGGCTGTTAGGAATTGTGGGAGTTGAAGTCCAAAACACCTGGAGGGCCCAAGCTTGCCCCTGCCTACTCTCACCGCCCTGCCTGCTGTGGAAACCCGCCTTGTAGTTGTGGTTTGGTGCAGTACTCTCAGAGCCCTTCCACACAGCCCTATCTCCCAGAATATCAAGGCAGAAAATCCCACATTATCTGTGGACTCGGATAATCCAGCTCAAAGCAAATATTGTGGGATTTTCTGCCTTGGTATTCTGGGAGATAGGGCTGTGTGGAAGGGCCCCGAGAGTACTGCACCAAACCTACGGGCTGTTAGGAATTGTGGGAGTGGAAGTCCAAAACACCAGGAGGGCCCAAGCTTGCCCGTGGAAGGGCCCTGGGTTGCTGAGTTTTCTGGGCTCCTGATGTTTTGGCCACATCTTGTGGCAGGCATCCTCAGAGGTTGTGAGGTCTGCTTGAAACTATAGGCAAGTGGGGTTTATATATCTGTGGAATTATGATCAGGGTGGGAGAAAGAATTCTTGTCTGCTTGAGGCAGGTGTGAATGTTGCAACTGGCCACCTTGATTAGCACTGCTTCAAAGCCTGGCTGCTTCCTGCCTGGGGGCCCCTTCTTTGGGAGTTGTTAGCTGGCCCTGATTGATTCTTGTCTGGAATTCCCGTTTTTAAGTGTTCTTATTTACTGTCCTGATTTTAGAGGTTTTTTAAAAAATACTGTTAGCCAGATTTTGTTGATTTTCATGGTTTCCTCCTATCTGTTGAAATTTCATTGGCTTCTCTGTGTAGCCTGAGATGGTGGTTGTTAGAGTGGTCCAGCATTTCTGTGTTCTCAATATTCTGTGTCCAGGTTGGTTCATCAGGTGCTCTGCTATGACTGACTTCTCAGGTTGAATTCATCTGCAGTGCCTTTCATGTTTCTTGATTTGTGTAACACTTCAATTTTTTCAAATTTTGTTGCATTGTGTTATTCCACCATGGGATAGATGCAGTTTGGCACCGCTTTATAACTGCCCTGGCTCCATGGGAGTTATAGTTTGTGGATTCAACCACACCCTTTGCCCTTTCTCTCTTTCCCTTATTTCTCTTTCTTTCCTTCCCATTTCTTTCTCTTTCTTCTGCCTTCTTTTCCATCCATCCTTTTTTTCTTTTTCCCTTCCTCCTTTCCTTCTTTACCATTTTTTACCTCTTTCTTTTTTCCTTCCTCCCTTCCTTTCCCTGGTACACCTACCAGCAACCAATCTATTTTGCTCCCTTTCTTTCTCAATCATGTGTAAGGGCCATTTAACCAAGCAACAGCCAATCTTTCTCTCCTCCCCACTCTGCACCCAACAAAGGTTTGGAATTGTTTCATTACTTTCAGTTGGATAATGATGGGTATGTATACCAAGTTTTGTCCAGATCCACCAAACCATGTAGGATCCTTTGTGGTATAAACCAACCAATCAACCAACAAACAAATATACATTGACTTTATATAGATAAATATATGTCGATTACACTGATTTGTGTGTCCTTTGGTATCCACTGGGGTTTTATTCCAAGACCCCTATGAATATAAAAAGCCATGGATGCTCAAGTCCTGTTATATGTAACAACCTATTAAAATGGCAACCCTTATATAAAATGTCAACATCGAGGTTTGCCACTGTCAGATTGAATACGACAGTAAAGAATGGTTTCCAATTGAATCAGCCAAAGCTGCACTTTGGCCTTTAGTGCTTTTCAACCTGTGGGTCTCCAGATATTTGGCCTTCAACTCCCAGAAATCCTAACAGCTGGTAAACTGGCCAGGATTTCTAGGACTTGTAGGCCAAAATACCTGGGTACCCACAGGTTGAGAACCACTACTATAGAACATAATGTAGTAAAATTAGACCAATTGGAGGAAGGAGCATAGACCACTAATGATATACAAATACCCATATTATTTGCAGAAAGGAACTGGGATGACCACATCTTCAAGTTCAGGAAGAAAATGAAAAGGAAAGGAAGGGTTACAGTGTGATATTAAGAAGATACAAATAAAGACCAGATTTTATATACAAGTTGATGATGAAGACAACAAGATAGATAAGATTTTCTGACATTCATCAAAATGGAGACATGAGGAATTCAGAAGAAGACTATGACTTGGAGGGACAGCTAAGGTACTTGATAAGATCTGAAAGTAAACATAGATAACTGACCAACATTATAATCATGCATTATAATTATCTATTACATGGTATTTTCATGTAGCTGTGTATGGTTGTCAAAGTTAGTGAAAAAAGCTAAAAGGAAGAAAATCCACTCATAAAATGTGGTGCTGGGGAAAAAAATTCTATAGATACTATGAACCTCAAAAAAGTAGTACAAAATGGGTCTGACAGCTAATCAAGCAAGGTTGAACTGAAAAATGGCAACATGACGAAAGAAATATTCTTGTACTTTGAACACATGAAACAACATGACTAATTAGAAAATACATTAATGTTAGGGAAAGTGGTCTGAAAAGGGGAAGATTTATCCAACAACGGAAGGTAGGACTGTTAGTGACTGGAACCCCTTAAGATCTCTCATTCATAGGCATCATAAGTCTAAGACAATTTGATGGCAAACAACATTAATTTCCAAGCTTCCAGAAGTGCTGTAACAAACCCCCCACAGGAGAAACCCCAAACCATACCCCCCCTTTTATTGTTAAGTTGTTGCCAATTGCATAACATATGTACACTCGTATGTGCTCTGTTCAAATTATATATACACTTGGGATGTAAACCCATAAACATCTCTAAAAATTATGAGTGAACTAGTGCTTTAGGCTGTTGTTCTGAACACTTTCCAGGAATAGAACCTGAATAATTTGGTGACATTTGTTTCTGGGAACCACTAATTGATTTCTGAAAGCGCTACTTAAAAGTTTTGACCTTTTGTGCCTTGTGCACAGGCTGCTTCGCTGTCAAGTGCAGAACCATTTTATTGCTAATCCCAAACCCTTCTATATTTAAGGACCCTGAAGTGCCAGGGTGCAGCATATACACAATCAACCTATATGACATCTGGACAAAGGTTAACAGAAGACAGACTTGGGTTTCTCCAACAGCTTTGGAAAATAAAGAGTAATGGAAAAAATCATGTTCAGAGCTCATGGGTCCTGCCTTACTTGTGGCATTAAATGTCACCTACTAGACAACCATTTTTACTTCCAAAAGAAAACAAATGTCTACTTTTTAAAGCTTTCCACCACCCTTAGTTTAAAGTACCATTTGAAAGATGATGGTAAAAACAAAGCAAGAAACCCTGTTACGATTATCAGATGATGCATCATAGAATCAATACAATTTAAATGTCATGTGTCAATGCTTTGAAATCCTGGGATTTGTAGTTTGGTGAGGCACCAACATTCTTTGGTAGAGAAGGTTTGAGACCTTGTAAAACTATAGCTTCCCAGATTCCATAGCATTGAATTTTTGCAATGAAAGTAGTGTCAAACTGTAGATGCATCCAGAGTCTGCTTCCTGGACTCAGGCTAATATCCTTAAATGATCTCATGGAATCAATAGTCAAGGCATTTGTATTCAGGGTACTATTTGACCTTCCTGCCCAATAAACTTTAGTAGATTGAGCCCATATTTTAAAGCTGGTTTAGCTGTGGTGTTTATCTTTGATTTGATTGTTGTGTTTACTTGGAATCTTTCGGAAACAGAACTGTCTTGGCACCTTTTTGTTTTGTTACTAGGCTTGTACTCTGTTGCTGAGCTATGGTTAACAGAATCTATATAAAAATTTAAATTAGTTATACTGTTAGTTGCCTAATATCATCATCATCATCGTTTGAAACACAACTAGATGAATCCACAGCAGACACTCTGCTGGCTGTTGTATTGGATCACACATTGGATATTAATAATAATAATAATAATAATAATAATAATAATAATAATAATATCCATGTCAGGAGCAACTTGAGAAACTGCAAGTTACTTCTGGTGTGAGAGAATTGCAAGGACATTGTCCAGGGGACGCCTGGATGTTTTGATATTTTATCATACCGTGGGAGGCATCTCTCATGTCCCCACATGGGAAGCTAGAGCTGAGGCGGGAGCTTGCCCCGCTCCCTGGATTTGAACCACCAATCTGTCTGTCAGCAGTCTTGCCTGCATAAGGGTTTAGCCCATTGCACCACCGGGGGCTCCATAACATTATAATAATCAGCTTATTTTCTCACCATTTCAGAACATGGGTGCAGTAGGTTGAGACATGTTTGAAAAGAGGCTGCTTGGGGTGCTTCAGTTGGGGATCCTGCACAGAACGGGATCCATGACCCAAAAGACCTCTTCTAATTCTGAATGGCTTGAGTGTTGGACAAAGGACTTCATCAGATGGGGTACTTTTCAGCGACATGCACCAGTTCCTCTTTACCTTTGTGACAGAGACCACTGGCTGTCATCCCATGATATACAGCTACTTCTGGTAGGGCTCTTTTGTAAAAGTAAAGAGGAAGCAGCACATGCCACTGCCATGGCAACATGGGACGGTTCTTGTGTTACATTTGTAACAGTGGAGGGAACCCAGACAGCGAATGTTTTCCCCACATAGGATGGGCTTTCTTGTAAGTTGAGGGATGCGAGACCTGGGGTGATGGATTCCACACACCCCCTGATGGGCATCACCAGATTCACCATCATCAGTGGTGATTCCAGTGGCCAGTATGATGAGATTGCAAGACTTAGGAGACCAGGGACTGTCTGATTGCTGGGCTACAGAAACCTCATGGGCAACATTATGCAAGTCACATTCTTCCAGTCTCAGAGGAAAGCAGTGCCAAAATCTGGAGTAAATCCTGCCCAGAAGCCCTCATATCTGTGTTAACCTGAAGACACACAACAACAACAACAACAACAACAACAACAACAAAAATAACAGACTGCTGTTGATTGTCATTGTTATTAATGTTTTATTGCAGAGTGGGCTGAAAGTTGTAACATGGTTTTCTGTGGCACCTGGTTCTGGTTATGAATCAGGAAATTATCTGAAGGCACAACAACAACTGTGAACAATCTTCTAAGATCCCTTTTATATTCCCATATAAAATCCGGATTATCTGCTTTGAACTGGATTATCTGGCAGTGTAGATTCATATAATCCAGTTCAAAACAGATAATGTGGATTATCTGCTTTGATAATCTGGATTATATGGAAGTGTAGAAGGAGTCTTACACTACATCTATGCTGCAAAATGATTGCAGTTTGACTCCATTTTAGCTGCCATGGCTCAATGCTATTGAACCCTGGGAGTTACAGTTTGGTGAGGCACCAGCACCCTTTGACCAAAATGGCTAAATACCTTGTAAAACAGCAGCTCCCATTTTTCTATATAGCATTGAGCTATGGAACTCCCTGCCTAGGAAAGGCAGAACAACCCCTTCCTTGCAGCAGACTAAAACCTTTTGATTCAGACAAGCTATTAGAGAAGCAAGTTTTCAAGACAGAGCCGTGTGTGTGTGTGTGTGTGTGGTGTTTTATGTATTTTAAATTGGTCTAATGCTTTTAATTATTCATTTTTAGACAGTACTAGGTTTAGTTCTATCTCAGCCCTTATAGTCTTCGCGTTTTACATAGTATATTGCATTACTTTTACCACTGTTCACCACTCTCTTTAATATGCACATTGTGGTATACATGGTAAATAACACTATGAAACAAAAATTGAAAAAAAAATCTGTTCCTGCTTTGAAAACATCATTTCCTGTTTAATTGTGTGGTACTTACTTTGAAAGCAATTGTTCTACCCCAGAAACGTTGTTTTTCTGGCTGCCACAAACTGTAGAGCTGCTGAACTTGCTGACTAGAAAGTTGGCAGTTTGAATCCGTGGGAAGGAGCAAGCTCTTGCTGTTAGCCCCAGCTCCTGCCAACCTAGCAATTCACATGCAAATGTGAGAGCAATAGGTACCACCTCAGCGGGAAGGTAAATGGCACTCCATGCAGCCATGCTGGCCACATGACCTAGTAGGTGTGTAAGGACAACACAAGCTCTTTGGCTTAGAAATGGAAATGAGCACCACCCCCCAGAGCGGGAGATGAAGGGGAAATCTTTACTTTTATCTATGTATCTGTGTTTCATCGTTTTGAGGTATTGAATGTTTGCCTTGTGTCTGTATCTGCTGGAATCTGCACTGAGTCCCTTCTGGGATATAGGGTAGAATACAAAGTATTGTTGTTGTTGTTGTGATGTTGAATTGGTTGAGACTCGATGAGATATTCTTTGAAAAACTATAGCAAAATGTGCTTCAGGATGTCCATCTTGTGAGCCATCTATCAGGGGACATCCATACTGTAGAATTGATACAGTTTGACCCCATTTTAATAAACTTTCCCCATGTGCTACATAGTGTAATAAAAGGGTGTGACAATTAAAGTGGGGTCAAACTGCATTAATTCTACAGTATGAATGTCCCCTGATGGATGCCTCACAAGGTGCTTCTACAGTTTGGTGCCCCGTTTGACTGGTATGGTATCCTGGAAGTTGTAGTTTGGCAAGGTCTTGAGCCTTTTCAACCAAAGAGGGCTGGCTCCCAAGATTCCCTAGCCTTGCAAGTTCAGGGAGTGTCAAATGTCATTCATCTCCCTTGCCCAGAGAGGCTGGACTTTCCTTGGAGGAAGGCGAGAGGGAGGAAGGGAGTGTCAGGGTGGGCTGAGCCCAGGGCGGCGCCTCTCTCGCATTGGGAGGAGAGTCAAGGGGGCTGGCCACGACTGGCAGCTGGCTAGGAAAGCGGGGCCAAGGCGAGAGATGGAGGCTTGCCCGGGTTCCTCCTCGGCCAGGACCCAGGAGGGGTGCCCCCTTCAATCCCGGCGGCTGTGGAGGCTCAGCAACGTGGCCATGGCCCTCTTCTTCGCTCTGGCCGGGGCTGTGCAGGTCGGCGGCGCAAAGAGGAAAGCAAGGGCGCAAGGAGGCTTCGCCTTCTTCCTGCCCTCCCAAAGAGAGGGCCAAGGGGCAAAGGTGGCTGGATAGCTGCCTGCTCCAGCTGGCGACTGGGCAAACAAGAAAGAGAATTGCTCCTTTTGCTAACACGCAACAGTTTGCGCCGGGCTGGAAGTAGCGGGTGCATCTACACCGCAGGATGAATGCAGATTGACTCTGCTGGAACTGCCCTGGCTCAGTGCTATGGAGTCCTGGGAACTGTGCAGTCAGCCCCCAAGTTACAAACAAGATAGGTTCTGTAGGTTTGTTCTGAAGCTGAATTTATTTGTAAACCAGAACAGGTAATTTTTAAAGTGAAAGCCCAGCCAAATGTATATCTTCTTTAGCTTTGGGTAGCATAGAGAAGGGTTAACACCTCTGCAGTATCTGTTTTTCTGCCTGTGCCCCTGTTCAGAAGATTTCGCCTCACTTTCTGTCCCTGTGATAATTGGATTTTGACAAATTTGGCTTGTTGTGGAAACAAGGATTGGTGGAAAAGCTTCAACCTTTCCCCCATGAGAATCTGTCACTTCCTGTTATCTGACCCCTGTTCTCAACTATGAGTTGTTTGTAAGTTGGGTGTTTATAACTCAGGGACTTCCTGTAGTGTGGTATGTCACAAGCACTCTTTGGCTAACAGCCTGGTCAAACACCTGGGTGGGCCAAAAGTCACCAAGGCCTCTCCTGTTTCAATAACTTTGTGAAAACATTTGGTGTGGTTTCATTTCTTTTATATATACACTGTACCTGATTCTATGGTACTGTAAATTTTAAAAAAGGAGTTATTTAATATTGAAATCTCCTGGTGATTTTTGGCCCACCTGGTACAACTCCCAGAATTCCATAGGATTGAGCCATGGCAAATAAAGTGGGGTCCAACTGCATCAATGCTACAGTGGAGACTAGGCACGGGCAAACTTTGGCCATCCAGGTGTTCTGGAATACAACTCCCACAATTCCTAACAGCCTGGCTGTTAGGAATTGTGAGAATTGCAGTCCAAAGTACATGGAGGGACAAAGTTTGCCCATGCATGGTGTAGATGCACTCTTGAGCTGGGGAAGGGTCAGAACTGGGATTGAGTAGTTGAGGTAAACCCTGCCCTACACTATCCCGTTGCCCAACTCAGGCCCCCGAAGTTTGAGAAAAAGTGAATTTTGCTGTAGATCTCAGGAGTAATGTGCATTGGGTGCATGTTGTAAAGTTAATGCAGTTTGACACTATTTTAACAGCCATGGCTCAATGCTATGGAATCCAGAATCCTGGGAATTAATGGTGACCCCATTAATTTCATCAGGGTTCTTAGGCAATGAGTTGCCACTTTCTTCTTCTGAAATATTGCCCATAGCACCATTCCTTGGTTCGCTTTCCAGTTACTAACTAGGCCCAACCCTACCAAGATTTCAAGAATCTTGAAGCTGAAAAGTCATGTCTTAATGCTTTATAGATCAATTTTATTCCAGAAACCTCAATGATACGTGCAGCTGTATTTGTTGCCGCAAAAGACTAATACGTTGCCTTTGGCATTGTTGTTGACTGTAGCTTGCATTCAGTGATGCAGGTTGCAATTTATGAAAGTTAAGGAAAATAAAACTAAAATATTTTTAGTGTCCCCAGAGTCTATAGCAGTGGTTCTCAACCTGTGGGTCCCCAAGTGTTTTGGCCAACAGCTCCCAGAAATCCCAGCCAGTTTACCAGCTGATAGGATTTCTGGGAGTTGAAGGCCAAAACATCTGGCGACCCACAGGTTGAGCACCCCTGGTGTAGTGACTCAAATACTCAGCTATGATTCTGGAGATCAAGGTTTGAATCCTTTCAGCCATGGAAACCCACCTTGGGCAAGTCACACTCTCTCAGATTCAGAGCAAAGACAGACCAATTCTGAGGAAATCTTGCCAAAAATGATTTATGGCAATCTTAAGTCAACAACAACAGATTTTTTTTCTGAAGGATTTTGTGTTATGCATGATGTGATATCAACTTATGGCAATATTTTGCCTCCTTTGTTTCAGATCAATGACCCTGATCCAGAAATCTGGATAGTAAGTATACATTCAGTGTCTGCTCCAAGTGTTGGAGAACTTAACAATGCAATGATACATGCAGTGGGTAGTTGCATTTCATCGCAAGCCCTTTCACTTGCCCGAAACGTCTTCCAGCGTTTGATCCTCTTTGGGCCTTTGCTAATTAACACTGTGTTCAAACAGGTGATTATATTTATATTATTATTTACTGCTGAGACTATTCTCTAAGAAAGGCAGCATATTTTCAGCTGGTGATAAGTGAATCAACTCAAATTGCAAGCATCTCATCAGGATGGTGATAATATGGGGCATTTTTAGCAAGCCATTCTTACTTTATGTGATCCGGCACCCTTGCATGTGCAAAATCAATCTTCCTGAGGTCTCCATTGCTATGAATTACTGCATCTTCTTGTAAGACTAGTACCCTAGCCTATCCTTGCATCTTCTTGTAAGACAAGTACCCTAGCCTTGGGATTTCACATCAGGTTTCCATGATTACTTCATTATTTTGTAAATCTGGATGGAGCACAATTTTTTCTACCTCTATTTTCTACATAGTATATTTATTTTGTTTCCTTTCAGGTTGCCTATTCTGTACCTGCAGCTCTCACACTGGTTGTTGGCCTTAATCCACCAATTGCAGGTATAGTATCAAAATCCCACATTTATTCCCGCTTTCATTCCCTGGCATCATTAGACCATGCATTTCCCTTTCTATTCATACAAATGATCCTAAAATTCAAAAATAAGCTTTTGTACTTGTCGTAATAGCTCATTTTGTCTTTCCCTTGTACCAAAATATTTCATTTTAGCATACAGTAACTCTTTCCCTCCTTACATCCTTTAAAATAAATTAACTATGTAGAATATACTTTTTCTCTACTCATTTATAGCATAAAGTCTTTCTGCATTTCTGAAAGACTTTATCATTATTAGAATCATAGAATCAAAGAGTTAGAAGAGATCTCATGGGCCATCCAGTCCAACCCCCTGCCAAGAAACAGGAATATTGCATTCAAATCACCCCTGACAGATGGCCATCCAGCCTCTGTTTAAAAGCTTCCAAAAAAGGAGCCTCCACCACACTCCAGGGCAGAGAGTTCCACTGCTGAATGGCTCTCACAGTCAGGAAGTTCTTCCTCATGTCCATATTCTGCTGTTCTTTTTTGGGGATGAATTTTACCATACGCTGTCCCAGATTTTTATTCAAGCCAGTTATTTTGAGTCAAAATAGGATTTAGCATACACGATTTCTCTTCTTTCTGCAGCATAATTTCCTAAATGTTAACTGTTTTTGTATTCCATCATTTTAGGCATTTTATATACTTGCCTAATGTATCTATCCTCTAATTCTGTGTGTTCCATTGTACTTTTTACCTATCATTCTCTTTGTTGTTTGAAGAAACTTTGCAAGAAAAATGAGCTGAATGTGTATATTTTATTATAATGTATACCAATGATTCCCCAATTTCTCCAGATAATGTTGTGTGGAGGACTCTTTCAGACCTACATACAGCAGCCTGCATTGTGGGATCTGCCATCTTAGGGTGGTCTTTGGTTGCTAATGCTCAAAAGAACATTTTGCATGAGGAGGAAGGCAGGTAAGTACTGAAATATTTTCCCCTCTACTACTTCTGAGTTACCAAACTTCCATGGTAATGCATTGCAATGGTTTTCAGTTCATTGGAGCTATATTCTTATGACACTCTGAAGGAGGCATGGCTCTCTAGGTGTATAGCCAGTAAGCTGGCTGGGATTTCTCAGAGTTGAAGTCCAAAACACATGGAGGGCCCAGGTTTTCCCATGCCTGCTCCAAGGGGAGGTCTAAAGAACCAGAAACTGAAAAGTAGACAAATATGCCCACAGGCATAAATCCTACAACATAAACCTTTCAAATTACTTTGAAAAAATGCTGTAGAGAAATATGGCTGGTGTATCAGGGCATGTCATGGCAATAAGATCTTAGTGGATATCTTTTGTATTCTCCTACAATCTGACCTCATTGTGGCTACATACAGAGCATTGGAAATGGCACTGCAGAACCATTATTGCTAATGGCACATAAGTTTCTCTTCCTCATCATCATCATTTGGTCAAATAATTTTGTATGTGCTTCCATGGAACTTGATGTGGTATTCTGGAAAAACTGAAACAAGATACCAGGATGTAATCATTGCTGCTTCCATACATGTGTATGCTTTGGTGTGATAGCAATTGGAACCTATTGGGTAGTGCCTATGACAAGAAAAATACACCAATCTCCTGAAATCTTGACTTCTCTAATCTATTAGTGACCCTGTGAAAAGGAAGGCAACTCCACATTTTAAAACTGTTACAAACAGTTATTGCTTCCCTCTCCTACTGCAATATTCCCCTCTCCATATTTCCATTAGGTTGGTTATTGATCTGCTAATGTAGCTCAACCTACCAGACTGTCCTTGATTCATTCCACAAAAATGATTATTTGGTACTCTTTGTCACAAATTTATTTCTTCTTGCCGAGTTCTCCTGAATCTGATTTATTTTATAGATACACACTTCTATAACTCATAGTTTTATTTGTTTAATAACAGGGAGTTAATGGGTCTGATGATTGTTACAGTCTGGATGAGCCTTTGCCGTAACTCAGCCAAGTGAGTCCTTTATTTCAGCTCTGTAGTTTTGATGTATGGAAACATATACTTATGCTGACAAGATGTATTGCAGCCTTCTCTCTTAAAATGGCTGGTTTTAAAAGATCTTGTTATAAATCAGGGGCTTTAGAGTGCTCTTTTTAAATGTAGAAAAGCAAGTTACATTTTTGCCCTGCAACAAATTCTATACAGGTAGAGGGAAGAAACATGTTTGAATATAACACATAATCACTGATACAAAAGTACAGAATTAAGAGCCAGTAATAGCTTTCCATTTTATATGCCAGTGTATGAAATTGCTACTGTAGATTGTTATGTGCCTTCAAGTTGACTCTGATTTACAGAAAAATGATTAATGGGGTGGGGATTGGCAAGATCTATTCAGAGGAAGTTTGCCACAGCTTTTCTCTAAGGCTGGGAGAGTCTATCGTGCTCAGCATCAAGCAATGGGTTATTGTGGTTGAGCAACAATTAAACCCTGCTCCCCTCTACCCTATGAGTCCTTTTCCCATACACCAACAACTACCTCATACATATCAGTATAACATGTGTATGATAATGCATGTTATAGTGATAATCATACAGGATGCTCAGGTCTCATTATATACAATGGTGTGATAAAACAATGTCATTACTGTATTTTGTTATATGTATTTTAATAGTGTTGTGTTTTATCTGTTTTAACCATGTTGTACCTCTCCTCGAGCCAGAGAGAGAGGCAGGTAACAAATACACAATTATTATTATTATTATTATTATTATTATTATTATTATTATTATTATTATTAAAATGGCAAAAATCAAGGTTTGCTTTGAGGGAGAAGAGGGGGGATATTTTCACTCCATGGATGTTTGAATGCATGGCTGCAGAATCCTTTCATAAGGAGAGTTGAATATATGTGTGAATTCCTTTGACTGTTCTTCTCATATAGTGGTTGAATGGCTTTCTGCACTTTTGCTAAATAGGATATTTTACAATTTCTGTATTCTAAAACAAGAATTTTAAGAGCAGATTTGATAGAATGATAACATTTTTTGGAGGTTCAGTCTGGCACAAATTGCTACTTTCTTCGACATACTTTTTCGCTCCTCTTGATTTTGCTTTTGAATTATATCTAGGCAGTGTAAAAATGTAATTTAAACAAATTCAGATTTAGAGTTCATGTACCTTAACAGAATCTGATTTCCAGTAAAACCTCTGTCTTTTGGTTCCTTTTAGGAAGTCTTTCGGTGGGATACGTTTGGTCATTGCAATTTTTCTCTCCCTTTTCCCATTTGCAATGTGGCTCTACACTTACTTGAATGCAGAAATGCGAGAATCCTGGCCATCTCACTGCAAAACAGCTATTTGATATTGTGGAAAAGAACCATTACCCCTTTCTCTAGAGTTTCTTCTTCAGTGATCCCAAATCAGTAGGAACCACCATTGTGACCAAGATCAGTTAATGGTATCAGAGTCCAGTAATCTGGAGACAGAAAAATTCCAGGAAGTAAAATTACTGTGTTAAAATGATACAGATCAGGGTTGTGTTACCTGCATCCCCTTGATAATGTGCAAGAGGCTGGACTGAGTGAAAACTGGAGTGCTGAGGAAATAACATGAGGCCAGAGATGGCCTGAACCTCCTGATGAAGCCAGTCGAACTAAACATGGACAACAAGCAGCCTTAATGGAACAAGCACAACTATTACAACCACTTTGTTTACAGAATGTACAGAAAACTGTTAATTTGTAAATATGTCTCTGAGTAGTTTGTTGGTGTAAATTCTCTTCAACCCAGAAGCTATACTCCCCAGTGTGTCTGTCTACATTGCAGTGTGCTGGTGATTAAAAAAAACAGTTCTTAGGATTTTACAGAAAGTCAAGCTGAACTTTTGCCTAATAAATGAGCATCTGAACCAATGCACTCCAGAGATATTTTGATACAGTGCTTATTCTGCTCTTCAATGTCGTTCTTCTCAGTTAAGAAATGTTCATCCCCTTATTGGACACACACGGGTCTTATTTTAATGGAATGAGTCTTGTAAGGCCAAGGTGGGCAGCGGTCACACTTGGCAGAATGTACTTATTTTTCTTAGAACCCAAACATCTACCAGTCAGAAGCAACACAAAATAATGGGAGGGTAGAGGACAGAAATAAAAAGAATTGAGGACTAGAGTGTCTCTGAGCACATTCTCAGCCCAGGAATTATTTTTAAAAAATCAAAACTGTGTTTAGAGACACTTCTGGTTCTTTTTGCTATTCTTTGATTTGGCCCTCTAGCATTAATTGGGAAGGGGGGGGGGGAAGGGGAGAGATAGAAATCCATGCCAATCTACTATACACTTTGCAAGATCTGTTAGTAAATTCCCCCAATTACAGGTTTTCTGATTTCTATATTAAGTATCAAATATTTTTGAATTCTAATTTTCATGTCTTGATATGGGTGAAATTTGGAACCTACATACTGACAAATATAATTCCAGGTTCCAGGAATGTTACAATATGAAAAGGGCAACAAGTGTATAGAAGCTTGGGGATGGGGAGAGAATATAACATTTCTCCTGAACTAGCCAGCCAGTTCCCATCTGCAGGAGTGGAAGTATGACTGGTATGAATCACATTTTATCCTTAAAGTAAGATTATTACACAGAGATAAATACACAATTATTCACCTTCTTGTTAGAGGATTTTCATTTCTGGTTTTCTGGTGTAAATTTATTTGTTTAATTTCCCAATTGTCATGTCATTGAACAGTGTTGACATTTAGTTTGATTATCAAGATTTGAAATTGAATGTACAGCTAGAACACAAAATGCAATGAGCTTTAGGAACAGTAAGCAGGACATTCAGTTGTACTAGAGACTAGTGGTATTTATTTAAAGATCCATGTGCTTTATATAAAGGAGATGTTTTCTCAAATCATCATATATCAAAATATTTTAGAAATCAATATTTAAAAATGTTTTCAAGTAAAAGCAGTAAAGTCATTCCTATTACAGACAAATAAAAGAATCTTATGGTTTAAAACTGAGAACTGCAATGATGACTTTTGTAAAGCATCTCTCGATCTGGCATACTTCCATTACCTTTTAATACCATTCTGTCATGATAGACATATATAGTTCCAAAAGCATTGCTTTCTGGAGGAGTTGCTATGATCCCTGTAAGCGTAAGATGATGGACTCCATGAGAGTCTAAATAGTAAACATCATCATGGAGGTGGCCAGCAAGAAAACATATCACAGAGTGATGCGAGTGGATGGTGGAAAGGGCCTCTTTATAGTTCCAAGCAAGGCAGACTCTGCTTGTAGCGTGTGGGTGAATAGGGATATGCCCTGGGAGAAAAGAAAAAAAAAAGAATTCAGACATCACACCATTTTGTGCATTCTACAGTTGCATAAAGTTCTGCAGAATTTGGTAGAAAAACTGTTGTGTGCCTTCAAGTTGTTTCCAACTTATGGCAATGCTATCACCAGGTTTTCTGGGGCTGAGTATATGTTTGAACTATATTGATATAGAGTAAGATAGAGAAAAAATGTGGTAAGATGTTACTGAACTGCAAGGACTATGAGCCCTAGTTAGCATACTAATAGTAAGGAATCATAAGAGTTGAAATCCCGCAACATCTGTGAGGCTACACTTGGCTCATCTTTTAATTTTTTTTACAAAGTGAACCCAGTTGAAACAAAGTGAGCATAAGCTGGAAAGTTGGAAGAAAAGTACTTGATTCAAATTTTAGATTATTTACATATTTCTCTGATTTGGAATAAGAATTTGCATATTGATGCAGAATATTGACACCCTATAGTTTTGTACTTTCCAGTCCCAAAAACTCCAGCCAGCAAAATAGTGGTACGAGACCTAGAATTGCAATCCAAAATGCATGGAGCTAAAGGTTCCCCAGCCTTTCTTTGTCAGGGAAGTTGTAAAGGTACTGAAATATTGAATATTAAACATTTGCATTACAGATCCTTAGGGAATTGATTTTAAGTCATGGTATTTGAATTAGAGTGTCTTCATTTATATTATTTGTTCTTTGCTATATGTATTAATAGAAAGTGAAAGGTTTTTGTTCATAAACCTGCTCTATCCAGACAGAGCAGTTCAGCTGCTGAAGAAGAGTGGGAGGCAAGAAAGGAGTAGGGTTTCTCCCAATCCTTCCTATCCACTCTCTACCTCTCTTTCAAGCTCAAGAGCTGGCAGAGATTTACTTTTGGTTTGGGGCAGGGGAATGCTGGAGGATCTCATTCGCCCAAGCCTTCTGCTGACTGCAGTGCCCATCAGCATAGCTAATGATGAGGAATGCTGGAATTTATATGTCTGCAAATCTGGCGGGCTATGCTTTTCTCAACTCAAAAGTGTTATTTTTAGCCTGTACTAACAGCAGAGCTCTAGTGGTGAGGCAAGGATGAAGGGGATTGGGCAGGGACAGGCTCTATCTATGCTGTAGAATTAATGCAGTTTGACACCACTTTAGCTGCCATGGTTCAATGCTATGGAGTCCTGGCAGATGTAGTTTTGTAAGGTCTCTAGCCATTTCTGCCAGAGTGCAAACTACAATTTTCAGAATTCCATAGCATTTAGCCATGGCAGTTAAAGCAGGGACAAGTTGGTTAAATCAATACCTTAGTTGTTCCCAACCTGTGGTCCTCCATTTGTTTTGGTCTTCAAGAAATCCCAGCCAGTTTACCAGCAGTTGGAATTGTGGGAGCTGAAGTCCAAAACACCGGGAGGACCAGAGGTTGGGAACCACTGCTGTAGATGCAACCAGGGATACTCGGCACTTCAAGAGCTGACTTTTTTCTGTCCTTGTAAAGCTAAGAGCCAACCCAGCTGAGGCTTGCTGGCACGTCTTACCTGGGACTATCAAACTGCAATGCTGTATTGTGTGTACAAGTGCCTTCATGTCACCTGTTGGCTTACACTGATGCATGAATTTCATAGAGTTTTCATAGGTAAGGAACATTCAGATGTGGTTTGCCACAATATGATTATGCTAGTGTATCCATATAACATTAATTTATTCTTTTTCTAGACATTTAGACAGTTTTTTTTTCTATTATCCTATCTTCCTGTTTTTCTCCTTTGGGAAAATAGATCAAACGCACTGTAGAGCTTGAGGTTTTATTTCAAAAAATTATTTGAGCTTCTCATTAATAAGGCCAGAGGCAATGTGCAACAAACACAAACATTTAAAACATTAATTGTAACAATGCGAATTACTAAAACTTACCCATGATCACAACTCTTTCCTGATTTTTATCAGCGTATGTAAGAATTTCATCAAGCCAGTGCAGCTGGTCTTGACTGAATCCTCCGTTGAATTGTACAAACTGACATTCATCAAGGTCTGTAATGAAAAGAAAACTAACAAGCTATTTATGCTTCACTTTCAGCTGTGTATTTTTAGGAATTTTAGCTCCCACCTCCACTGCTTATGGAAATGTATAGCTTTAAAATAAAATAAAAACAATTGAAAGCCAACAAAGGAGAAGGAACCAGTCCAACTTTTTAAAGATAAAAATAGAAAATTTCAGCGCTGCACCCAGACCACAAGCTCAGGCATTAAGTGCCCTTAAAACAGCAAAAACTACTAGGGTTTCTTTGGTAGAAAGAAAAAAGACACTGTACCAGAATCATGCTGATGCCTCCTTATGCAGGGATGCATGGCTTTGCTGATCCTGCCATTCGAATATAGTGCTCTGCCAAGGTGCCTATAAAGCTCTCTGGCCATCTCTGTTGCCAGTCACCTCTAGCAATATTTCTGTATGGAAACAATTCAGTTTCACAGCAGGTGGCAGAGGAGTGCCTCTACATGCCAGGCAATTAATGCTTGCCAGTGTCGTCATGGGACGGAAGCACAACTCTTTCTGGGTTCGCATGACTCTTACCATCAGATCCAGAACCCAGCTGCTTTGACTGCTCACCAACATGCCCTGGGCCTTTTAAAAAATCTATTGTCCTTTTAAGGAAGGAAAGCAAAAGAGACCACTGCCTCAGGATGGGCCACTCCTTTCATCTATTGCCAAAAACTGACCTGTAGGAGCAATTTTTATGACTGATGTAACACTATATAAAATTGAATCTTGTGCTGTAATGTAAATTTATATTGGGTTGCTGTGAGTTTTCCGGGCTTTATAGCCATATTCCAGGAGCATGTCCCTACAGCCCAGAAAACTCACAGCAACCCAGTGATTCCGGCCATGAAAGCCCTCAACAACATAGATTTATATTATTTGTAACTTACCTTGGAAGAATTCTGATATCCTGAAACCCTGCTGCAAATATAGTAATAAATAACATAAAGCCACCGTTCTGTCTTAGCAAACCAGTTAACTCTCATTTCTCTAAATCTGGAATGGGTTAAAGAGAGCCGAAGAGGACACTTGTGACCCTTGGTCAGCACAATACTTTACCTAGTGGACTATTCAGATTCTTGTTTTTATTTTTCTGTTGCAGTAGACGGAGAGACTCTTGATACTTTTTGCTGGATGTGCCCCTCCCCAAAGTACTTAGATCATAGGCATCAAGAAGGACAAATCGAAATTTAGACATTGGGCAGAACTGATAAGCATAGCAGAATTCTGAAGCAGCATCTTCAGTGGGGCTTTGATGAGTGACTAAATGGCTAAGTAAAGTTTTGTCTTCTAAATACTTGGTATTCAGTGCTGATTGGACCAGATAATCTCTGCTAAAGTTGTAGAGTTCATGGTTGCCCCATATGTGATGCACTGGGGCCTTGAGCTTCTGAAATTCCTTCATGACTGTTTTCAGTGCTCTCTTTGACATCTTGTGTTGGGCATTGAAGCCATCAATGATGTCCCCAAGCTGCAGTGCAAACTGGATCTGTCTTCCATTCCACTCTTCTATTGCCTTCTGGAGATGACACAGGCTGTGCCTATAATATCTCTTCTGGATTCCCAGGAAATCATAGCCATCCTCTAGATCAGCATATTGAATGTCTGCTATGACTCCAAAGGAGAAGAGAGCTTCATCCATAGGTGTCGACACCCTCCCAAAATCTAACACAAAAAGGAAGAAAGCTTTGTTTCAAACCTTATGAGAAGTGTATAATAAGGGTTAACCATACTTAGTGATATATCAGATATTCTGTAGGTGTATAGAGCATAATTAATATGGCTTCGGACAAACTATTCTGCTCTTAGGCCAACAGAATAATAATTATTATAATTTTCTTACCCGCCTCTCCTCACAGCTCTAGGTGGGTTACAACATTGCTAAAATACATAATCAAAACATATAATCATTTAAAAAAACATTCCATAGAATACACATATTAAAACATATTCCATAAAATACATATTAAAATACACAAAGCAAAAGTTAGACAGAGTGGAAGTTTAAGATTTTTCTTAAGACTATCTGAGTAGGCCTGCCAGAAGAGATAGATCTTCACTTCATGCATTGACAGTGGTGGACTAAGCTCTTTTATATATCCATACACTCCGTGATTCTGAGATGCATATAGCTATTTGACATATAGGCACTGTAGTGTGTGTCCTCATGGGTTTTCTGAATAGAAAAGAAACATCTTTTTCATTGTTAACTTTACTGGGAAGACAGTATGCAACAGTCTGACAGATATCGACTCAGGTGAAAGCCACAATGGTTTCAGTGGTCTTATCTCCCTTATCAACATATATACAGAAATTATATGCAGATGTTTGGTTCCAGGACACAGACACATACTGTCAGTGGATACCAAATTCCATGGGTGTGCAAGTCCCATTATATACAGTAAAATGGCATGCTGCCTGATATAAAATAGTGAACAACTCAAATGGCGAGAGCCTTGGGATCTGTGAAATGGCAGGAGTCTATAGCAGGCATGGACAAACTTCAGCCCACTGGGTATTTTGGACTGCAACTCCCACGATTCATGACAGGCCATCGGCTGTTAGGAATTCTGGGAGTTGAACTCCAAAACACCAGGAGGGCCAAAGTTTGCCCATGCTTGGGCTACAGCATGGTAGCCCACCTATCAACAGTCAGCAAAATTGAACTTCGCTTTTTTGCTTTTTGGAATGCCCCCCCCCCCATGTTTTTTAGCTCTGGTTAGTTGAATCCTTAGCTGCAAAACCTGTAGATAAGGAAGGCTGCCTGGCCCCATCTAAAGGTAAAGGTTTCCCCTTGACATCAAGTCTAGTTGTGTCTGATTCTGGGGGGTGGTGCTCAACTCTATTTCTATGGCAAAGAGCCGGTGTTGTCCGTAGATGCCTCCAAGGTCATGTGACCGGCATGACTGCATGGAGCATCGTTACCTTCCTGTCAAAGTGGTACCTAATGATCTACTTACATTTGCATGTTTTCGAACTGCTAGGTTGGCAGAAGCTAAGGCTAACAGTGGGAGCTTATCCTGCTCTCCGGATTTAAAAGTTCAGCAGCTCAGTGGTTTAACCTTCTGCGCCACCAGTGGCCTCATTGACACTGCTATATAAAAAACAGATTGTCTAATTTGAACATATCACCTGAATCTGACCAGGACTCCAGGCTTGCTTTCCAAGCTGCTGTTGTGTGCCTTCCTGAATGATCTCTTCAATCCTCGGGGGAGGCCCTCCTCTCCCTCTTTTTACAATACTGCACAATCTCTTCGATCCTTGGGGGGGGGGGGGGCTCATCTCGCTCCTGCCTCCATCACAAGTGCGACTTTTGGGGATGAGGGAGAGAGCCTTCTCTGTGGTGGGCCCTCAGCTTTGGAACTTGCTACCTAGTGAGATTAGGCAAGTCCCCACCCTGGCAGCCTTTAAGAAAGACCTAAAAACTTGGCTCTTTGATGCGTGCTTTTGACGAGTGAACACATATCCCCATATCATGTCCGTCCCAACTATAGTTCTGCCTCATGACGCACTTTCCCTTGTCTTTAATGAAGGCCCGATCCCATTGTTGGCCCCTTCTGAGCTCCCCCACAGACGCATACTTCTACATTAATTTATCTCACCCAGAGTTTTATCAATCCTATTCTGTGCATCTGGCCCACCCACCATGCTTTTATTTTATTTCTTCATCTCGTTATTTTGCATCTGTTTTTCATTTTCTGATATTATATGCATTTTATTTTGATGTTATTTGCTGTTTGTTTGTATTTTATTTTATTTTGTTGTACTGTAGCCTCACGTTAGCCACCCCGAGTCCCCTTTGAGGAGATGGCGGTGGGGTATAAATAAAGTTTATATATTCCAGTAGGACGTCTCGTTGCCATGGGAGTTGTAGTTTGGGGATACACCAGCCCTCTCTGGCGGGAAAGCGACAACAACCCCAGGATCCCACTGCATTAGACCATGGAAGGGAAAGTGACGTCAAACTGCATGAATTCTAAGTCTCCCTCTCTGCATAGTAAAAGAAATTGTATCCCCCATAGTCGCCTATGGATGTGAGAGCTGGACCATAGGGAAGGCTGAGCAAAGATAGATGCTTTTGAGCTGTGGTGCTGGAGGAAAATTCTGAGAGTGCCTTGGACCACCAGAAGATCCAACCAGTCCGTACTTCAGGAAATAAAGCCCAGCTGCTCATTGAAGGGAAGGCTAGTAGAGGCAAAGATGAAGTGCTTTGGCCACATCAAGAGAAGACGGGAAAGCTTATAGAAGACAGTTATGCTGGGGAAAATGGAAGGAAAAAGGGAGAGGGGCCGACCAAGGGCAAGATGGATGGATGGTATCCTTGAAGTGACAGGCTTGACTCTGAAGGAGCTGGGGTGGCCACGGCCAACAGGGAGCTCTGTCGTGGGCTGGTCCATGAGGTCACGAAGAGTCGGGAGCGACTGAATGAATGAATTCTGAGAGTGCCTTGGACTGCAAGAAGATCCAACCAGTCCATCCTCCAGGAAATAAAGCCCAACTGCTCATCGGAGGGAAGGATAGTAGAGGCCAAGATGAAGTACTTTGGTCACATTATGAGGAGACGGGAAAGCTTAGAAAAGACAATGATGTTGTGGAAAATGGAAGGAAAAAGGGAAAGGGAAAGGTGGATGGATGGCATCCTTGAAGTGACAGGCTTCACTCTGAAGGAGCTGGAGGTGGACACGGCTGACAGGGAGCTCTGGCGTGGGCTGGTCCATGAGGTCACGAAGAGTCGGGAGCGACTGAACGAATGAACAATAACAACCAAACAAGTGGCCCCTCTCCTTCGGCCTGGCACACCCCCTCCCCAGACTCCAAGCAGCTTAGGCCTTCCAGGATGCCTCCGACTGCGGCTGGGGGAGGAATGTGACCTCTGTCTTTGGCTCCCCTTCCTTCCCTTGGCTTTAGCGACACAGGGCGATATCTTGCCCCTGTCCTGGCCGTGCCTGCATACAACGCGGTTCCAAACGGGGCGGCTTCCTAGCCTCCAACTTACCGGAGCAAATAGGGGCGCAGAACGTCCCCGCGGCGCTGTGGCCTCATCTGTGCTCTGAGCGGGTAGGCGCCGCTCTAGCCGCTCTAAAGTGCACACCATAGAGAGACCGGCGTTCCGAGGGAGGGAACCAAAAAGCCAGGCCGGCGCGCGCATGCCAGGTTTCCCCCGGAAGTCCAGCCTGCCCCTCTGATTGGGTTCCTGGGAAGGGACGGAAAGACAAAGATGGCGGCGGTATTCCCGGCTGGCCTGCGGTTGCTGGCGGGGCGCCAGGGCTCCTTGCCATGGCGGTGCTGCTGCCTCTGCCACCCTTCGCGGACGAGGGCCACGCAGGCCTCGGGGGAGCCTCCGCGGAGCGGTCCCAGCAAGCCTGGGGTGAGGAGGGGAACGGGGGAAGGGAGGGAGAGCGAGCTCGGGTGGGCCGCCTGGGAGCAGGACCTCCGCGCCGGGCTTCCCCACACTGCGGCCCTCCACTTTCCATGAGTCCTGGCCATTGAACAAGCTGGGAGTTGGAGGCCTATACAGGCAGCCCCCAAGTTACGAACAAGAATAATTCTGTAGGTTTGTTCTGAAGTTGAATTTGTATGAAAGTCGGGACAGGTATATTTTCAAGTGTAAGGTAAAGGTTTCCCCTGACGTTAAGTCTAGTCGTGTCTGCCTCTGGATAGTGGTGCTCATCCTCATTTCTAAGCTAAAGAGCCGGCGTTGTCTGTAGACACCTTCAAGGTCATGTGGCTGGTGTGACTTCATGGAGCACTGTTACCTTCCTGCAGAAGCGGTACTTATTGATGTACTCACGTTTGTGTGTTTTCAAACTGCTAGGTTGGAAGAAGCTGGGGATAACAGCAGGAGTTCACCCCACCAACCTTTCAGCCAGCAAGTTTAGCAGCTCAGCATTTTAACCCATTGTGCCATCGGGGGCTCTTTTTAAATTGTAACTCCAGACATATAGCTAGATAGAGATACATTAGCTTTGGATAGATAGCATAGGGAAGGGTTAACACCCTGTGTTGTTTCATCTGCTGCTGCCTTTGCCCCAGTTCAAAAGATTTTGCCTCACCTTCTGTCCCTGTGATATTGGATTTTGAAAAATGTGGCTTGTGGAAACAGTGATGATGCGCCAATGGAGACACCTTTTCCCCATGATAACTCTTTCAGGAATGAATTCCTCTTCTGAGAAGTAGATTTCCCTCACTTCCTGTTGTTTCATCCCTGTTCTTAACTCTGAGGCTGGGGACTCACCATACTATAAGTCCCAGGATTGTGTAGCATTGAGCTATAGCAGTTAAAGCAATGTCCAGCTTCAGAAAAGTGACGCTTCTGAAGTGGCAGCGCCCTCTTCATTGGGGCACAGTGGTTAGAGGGATGGGTTTGGCAAACTCAGCCTTTGCAAGGGGCTAGTCTCTCCCATCTTAGCCCCCAATCCACCCCCCCCCCACCCCGAGTAGTATAAAACATTCAGTAGTCCAGTGAGGGTCAGGCTGGTGTCTGATACTCATCCCTTTTTCTGACCCTTCATGGCTTCAATAGAGCTGTGTGTTTACCTGACTGTTGTCTTCCCTATTGCATTTAGTGCCAGAAAAATAATCTGTCCCTCTCAGCACTAAACTTAAAGTCCAGTTGCGGTTCCCTTGAAGATAAAATGACAGCAGGGTTGCAGTAAGTTTGTACAAAAGAAAATGCTAACTCTTTCCAGCAGAGTTCCAGTAAAGAAAAATAAACAATTTTATCTAAACATAGTGGAAATACAGCTTAATTCAGCACCTTATATGCAAAACAAACAGTCCTTTCCAGGGTGCATAGTATCAACAATCTGCAGGGGGGGAAACGGAGCTTGGCACCTACAGCTACAGTTTGTAAAGAGCTTCAAATGGTATATCAAAACCTCTGTTTTTATACCCTACTAATTGCAGCAAGAGAAATCCCTTTGCCTTTATGCACCTGCATGTGGATTCTTTCTTCACGCACACATCTTCAGTAACCTTGGTGCTGATCCGCATAAAAATCTCACCCAGTTTTCTATAGAGCTTAAAATACCCTACACTACTTGCTGCTAACTCATAAAGGGCCACTGGTGTGATGATCTGAAATGTTAAACTCAGATTCTAAATGCAAATCCTCACTTAGGCATGAAAAACAGCTAGTTGATTTTGGGCATATTATTCTCTTCCAACCTCAGAGGAAGGCAATAAATCTTGCCAAGGAAGCAGTCATGAATTTCACTGAGTTTTCTTAAGCAATGAATGTGCAGAGGTGCTTTACCATTGCTTTCCCCTGAAACCGAGCCCAGTGCACCTGATTTTCCTTGTCACTCCTGCAACAAAGCAACAGGTAGACTTGACCCTGTCCAGCTTCCAAGATCAGATGGGATCTGGTGCCTTCAGGGTCTTTGGGCTACAACTGAACTAGTAAAGTAGACTGTGTTAAAAAACTACACAGCCGAAATCCAAATCTAGGTGACCTTTTCTAATTTCCCCTTGTAGAGAAGGAGACACATGAGCTTCAACCACTTTCCCAGGTTTTGCAGCTTACCTTTATATCTCCTGGCACTCATTTGGGAATCTTTGGTCTTTTCTTAAGTTATGATGTATTTCAGTCTGAGAAATGAGAAAGGATTCTGTGTGTGCCAGGAAAACTCACAGCAACCCAATGCGGTGTGTGCTTTGCTTCTGAAAAACGTAGCCAGAGAGAACGAGGAAGTGAAATAAAAATTATTTTTATGAGGCAGATTCAGGTCAGTGAACAAATATATTTACATAAGCACCTCCATTTCTTTTCTCTCTTTCCCAGTAGCCTGTAACTTGGAAGACTCTGGCAATCACCTGTGCAATTGGAGGAGGATTATTAGCAACGATGAAATACTTCAAAAAAGAAAAAGAGGAAAGTTGGTATCAATCACCATTGCTTCTCTTCTTGATTCATTACCATCTGGTTGCACAGATACAAACACAATGGTTATGTTCCTTCCTAGAGCAGTAAGAATGTCAGTGTCTTGTTGACTCAGTCAAAAGAGTACTTTATAGAGTACTTCACAAATATGTGTTCAGAACCATTTAAATTCTGCTCGGAGTTGTGTAGTCATTTACTTACCTTCGTTCTTCTTAGTCAGCTTAAGGTTAGTCTAACCAAGTCCTCGCATGTTCAAGCCCTACTATGAGTATCATCTGTAGCACTTTACAGTTTATTATAATGATCCAAAGACAAAGAATGGTCATTTAAGCATTTTGAAGTGATTCCAGAAACCAGCCATCTTAGCTGATGTCTTGGAAACAAGCAAATGAAAACATTAAAAAAAAACAAAACAGGGGAAGGAGCATGTCCCAATTTATTTTCTAAAGCTCTTGTGTGAGATAATCAAAGGGTGCATCTATTTTGGCCATATCATTCATGCAATTTGACTTCACTTTAAATGCCATGACTCAAGCCTATGGAATCATGGGGGTTCTAGTTTTCTATGATCTTTTCCCTTCTCTGCCAAAGAGTGCTGGTGCCTCATACTACAGCTACCAGGATTCAATATTCATGAGCCATGGCAGTTAAAGTGATATCAAACTACATTAATTTGACAGTGTAGATGCACCCTGGAAGGCAAAAATAGGTTCTGAATGATTGTTTTTTTCTCTCCACACTTTTACATTTATTGTTGTCGCTTGCATCAATATTGAATTAGCTATTTAACCTTTCAACTCTTCCGACATCTGTAACAGATGTCTCTGGTTGCAGATCTCTTTTAGAAATTGAATTTTGATTTTTCCTATGTTCTTCCTACTATGCTCTGCCACCTCTACTGTGGGAACACCTCTACTGTATATTGAAGTATCCAGAAAATGCAAGAATAGCTGCAGTGTAGGCTTTTTTTGTCTTAAGGAGGTGTAGAATCTGGAGTGGAAGAAGAATTAGAAAGAAAGGAGAAGCAATAATGTATGATTGCTGCTATGTATGCTCTATAAGGATTATTTGTTTTAAGATGAATAATCGTCAGTTGTGCTGCTGTTTCAGTGTTGGAGAAGGACCGGCACCGGAGTATTGGAAAGCCATTGTTGGGAGGCCATTTCTCACTCACTGATCACAAGGGTGAGCCCAAGTCAGATCGTCACTATCTGGGTCAGTGGGTGCTCATCTACTTTGGTTTTACACACTGTCCTGACATCTGTCCAGAAGAACTGGAGAAAATGATTCTAGCTGTAGATGAAATCGGTGAGTCATTCAGAAAACTGAATTGTCTTTAATGAATAGTAGTCATATCTATAGTTTTGTTTGCTAGAATAATGCTTGGTATAGAATTGGATCTTGTTCTTCATATTTGGATCCTTTTTTCTTCTATGGGCATTTATAGCAAGGGATAGAATAAGATTTATTATTTATATTGTACTTTTGTTGGATCTGCTGCCTTATTGCACTTAACTGCAAAAAAGTGCATTCCCAATATTGTTCGATTACAGCTCCCAATCAGCCCTAGCAGGAGGAATGTTGAGAGTGTCAATCCAATAACATCTGGCAATCCAATAACATGATTTGGATGGCCATCTGTCAGGGGTGATTTGAATGCAATGTTCCTGCTTCTTGGAAGGGGGTTGGACTGGATGGCCCATGAGGTCTCTTCCAACTCTTTGATTCTATGATTCTATGATTTCCCAACTCTCAAGAAATTGACACTGAAAAAGTTCAACAGGAAAAATATAGTTTGGGACAGGGGTGAGAGATGTATGCAGCTGAAAGGTATTGTGTAATATTTAAATGTTAATGATATAGTTACCTTGGTCTGTTATAGCAAAACCAGTAATTTTTGACACCTTAAATCTAGGTAATACACATCCCTCTTATGTATTTGAAATTTACTACAGCAGGGAAGAAAAGTTACGGTACGCAGAACTGGTGGGCTATGAGATAAAATCACACACTGGAGATGGATGTTTCCATGTGTGTGTCTGGAGGAGCAGATTCTACTCCTATGCATCACCCAGAAAGAGACAACAAGTTTTCCAAGAGAGCAGGAGATCTTTGGTTTGCAGCAGAATTGGGTGACTAGGGATATAATGAGAAACACTGGCCAACGTAGAATAGGGCAAGGTTTTAGTTAACTGCAAAATGAAGAACAAATGTATGTTTCATATTGAAAGGAATAATGTAAAATGTTCCTGCGCCAATTTGGTGTCTGTCCCCACTAGGAAGGGAATTCCATAATGTGGAAGCAACCACAAAACAACCTGAAATTAGGCAAAATAAAAGAGAGAATAAAAATAGTCTTTTCAGAATATCTTAAAAACTCAGTTCTGCTATTTCCAGAAAACTCTCATCACTGGCTACAAGAATATCATCTTTTTAATGAGCTAAACCAAGTTACTATTTTCTAGGACAGCCTTTTCCCCCGATTTTGCATCCTAAAATCCTATTCTAACCATGACTATTCCAGTCTATATGGTCAGCTGCCAGGGATGATTAATTTGTAGTACAACAACTGGGAGCCTTACAGAAGGTTGTTCTAGATTATTTATCATCATCATCATCATCATCATCATCACTTTATTTCTTTATTTATGGGGTTTAACAACTGGAAAATAATTTTAGGTCTGGCTACTAGGATATTAATTATTATGTTTTGTGGCTACAGATGCGATCCAGTCTCTGCCCAATGTCACTCCACTCTTTATCACCATTGATCCAGAGAGAGATAATAAAGAAGCAGTTGCTAGATATGTCAAAGGTAACATTAGCTTTTTCTCTTAATATGATATTGTATTGATGCCCTTGGCCTTGCAACCCTGTCCAGAATGGCTGTTGAAGCACTGGAAGGGTCTCTCACGGGTCCCTAATTCAGTTTGATCTAACGAGCCCTGTTTTTATTCCAAGAGTTTTCACCTAAACTGATTGGATTGACGGGTACGAAAGAGCAGATTGATCAAGTGGCTCGAGCCTATCGTGTCTACTATAGTTCTGGCCCCAAAGACGAAGATAATGATTATATTGTGAGTATGATTTTTGAATGTGGTTTTTCTAATTGGGCCAGAAACTGATATGCCTGGGGAGGGCTTTATAAAAACACCTCAGTTCTGATTTAATAATTTTGTTAGAAGTGAGTGAAGTGTGTTTTGATGAAATGCCTCGTGTAAAACAGTTGAAGGAGTCAATTGAAAGGAATCTAGGGATCAGAGAGTGGTTGAGCTGTCATCAATTGACATTTGTAGGCACATAATCTATTGGATGTGGACAGTGTATATATGATTGGGATATATTCTTTTCATAATGGAAAGATCATCTTGTAATAGCAATAGATGATGGGCTTCTATGACTTCAATGTTTCCATTATGTCTACAAGGACATTGTTGCTGAGAAATGTTTGTTTTGAGGCCAGGGAAGAGAACGGTCTGAAAGATAACTTGAAGGCGGTAGTGGGCCTGAAGATGCTTCCTTTGGTGGTTGTAGTTCAGATACCACTTAGAGCATAGGCCTGGGCCTCTTTTCTCATATGAGTTTGTTTTGACAGGCTCACTGACATCCAAAAACTCAAATATGCAGTCTTTTATCAGAAACCTATCTCTCTTATGACTCTGTATCATAGATATTACCTACATGGGTTATTAAAATTGGCAAGAACTGAGACAATTCAGCCACATGAGGGAGCCAGATAGTGGATGGGGTGTATTTTGCAATCCTTCAGCTGGCTAGTCTTCTGCCTGTGCAGTTCCTTTAACAGAGCACTTGGCATAGGCTAGGCTGGCCTCACTGCTCATTTTGATGACAGACAAGGGCCTTTTTATTCAAACAAGGTTTTAATGATGAATTCGTTGCAGGAAGATTTTTTTATTGTAGGGTGTGCTGTATTTTAACTTTATTAGGTTTGTAAATGATTTAACACTAAAAATGCAGTGGTGTTTTAATCTAATAATTTGTTTAATCACATTTTAACTTGTCAGGTTTCTTAGCTATATCCTGGTTTATCAATGTTAATTAGAATTAATTTCTGAAGTGTTGTTAGTACTCCTCCACCACCTGTTCTGGTTCTTCAAAGTAACTTGGCACTGTTCTAATCCTCAATTATGATATAGGAAGTGGGGAGGGGGAATAACCAGCAAAACGGGGTGGGGGGGGTGGGGTGGGGGTGGTTTTCCTCCTTCAACTCCCTCCCACTGTAAAATGGGCTATCCTTCTCTTTCTGGTGCTCCCTAGTGGCCTCTGCCCAGATAATGGAACAGTACCATAATCTAGATTCCCAATTTTTTCTCCCTTCTTTTTAATCTAACTATGCTACAGAAATAGAGTAGCAGACCCAATTCTCTTCCTCTGGTAACCTAGAGGGGTGCATTTCTTATATCCTATCAAAGAGCTGGAACACTGAATATTTTGTCAGCATGGAAATAGCTAATGCTGCCATCTAAGTTGCACTTTGAGATATTTTATGAACTTGCTCATCTATTTGGGCTATTTTCCCATATTTGACAATGCCTATTTCCAAAAAGCAAGTATCTGAATGGGAAAAAAGGCCAGATGAGGCTAAAATTATTAAGGAAGGGAAGATGTAGCAAAACCCCATTCCTTTGAGGTTTGAGGATGCTGTTGGCTATTCTGCACCATACCCCCTCAAAGCCAGGCTTTATTGTGAGGTGGGAGCATAGGGCTCCTCAGAGAGGTGCTCAAAAATGCTTGGGGCATTTCATCACCATGGATCCAATAGCAGGAAAGTAGATCAGGGCTAGAAGGGATTTTAATTTTTTTTGTGGTGTGCAAGTTTTGAAGTTTGTGGAACCTTAGGATTGACCTCCAACATACTTGATAATTACAATTCTTCCCTTACATTCAGAGAGTGATGGTTTTCCATAAGAGCCCATTTGAACTCGATGCAGTGACTTCTCAAAGGGTTTCTGAAGAATTCTTTTTCTGCCTGGTTTGGGTGCCTTTGTTCTTTTCTCTTGCAGTGCTCAGCTTTTGTGTCATTTTCATATTCTGGTTTTAGAGCCATTGTACTTGAGACCTCATTTTAAAAAGAAAAACCTATAGCTGAGTTGATAGTTCAGTGAACTAATGGAGTTACTGCTGTGTGTCGGTTATGCTGTTTCCAACTCTCACCCCCAGTTTGTCTTATTTTTCTTGCAGGTGGATCATACCATCATAATGTACCTTGTTGGTCCCGATGGGAAGTTCGTTGATTATTATGGCCAAAACAAGAAGCATTCGGAGATTGCTGCTTCAATTGCTGGACACATGAGACAATTTAAACAGAGTTAGGAGAGGAAAGAAATCTTACTGGAAGCCAAGAATGCTGCCCATCAAGTGTACATAACACAACGGGGATGTGCCTTGAAGATAGGATTGGTTGGATGAAGTACAAGTAATATCCCTTGGTACCTTCCTTATTTCTTTGTGGTTATGACTGTACTCTGAGCTAAGACTCAGAATGAATAAAGAACAGGTGTCATTATACAAAACTATGTGACCAAATACTTTTCTCAGAATGTGCATTGACTCTTGACTTTTTGTGTGGAATGCCTTTGGATACAATACAGGTGGACCTAAGGAAAAGATAATCATTCCTGAATGGTGATCACTCTAGCCTTGGAATTGTTTTTTATACTTGAATTATGATTTGTTGTAATGCTAAAAGACTATATGTAGATTTAATAACTGAAGTGAGCAGTACTCCTGATGCCATTTATGGGACTAGCCTTGCCTGAGATGTGAATGTCTTTTACTTACATCAGTGGCATCACCATCACTTCAAAGGTGACATTTTCTGACAGCTAAAGAAGCTGTCTTTTGGAATTGTTATTAATATATATGAAATTGCTAGTGTAGCTTATAACAGGACTAGCAAACCTGTCATTCCTTCCATATGTTGGAATATAGACTCCCATCATCCCTAACCAGCATGGGTTCAAGTTGGAAATGATAGGAATTGTAGCCTAACGTCATGTAGAAAGCTACGGGTTCCCTGTTCCTAGCTTATGACATAACCCCAGAGCACTGAGTAACTCTCTATATAGAGGGATTATTGATCAAATAAAATCACATGTGTTGTACTGACACTGAAATAAAGTATAAAAACCTCTAGAGCTTATGTTGTTTTCTTCAGATCTCTAATCAGCTAAAATGAATGTTGCCCTTGAAACATTGTGCCTATCTTTGAGGGGGTTTGTACTTCTCATTCAGTAGGATGAAATTGCTGGATTCAAGTATCATGGATGAGCACTGCTACCAGATGCCATCCAAATTCAGTCTCCTCTGCTACAATGCTACCAATCTTCCAGTTGGCATGTTAAAATGGATAAATAATCCATCTGATGGGCTGTTAGGAATTATGGGAGTAGAAGTCCAAAGCACCTGGAGGGCCAAAGTTTGCTCATGTCTGCTGTAGACCAAAGTTTTAGGCAGCTCAATGAAATGTACATCATTTTTGTAATAAAAAAATGCCATAGAGAATGTGCACATTTGGAGCTATTAAATTTCTATCACTTGGCATAAATTGTTGGAAGATTGCTAATCATCTCCCACACTCAACCTCACCACTGCTTTTACAGATTTGCTTTCTGTTTTAAGCTGCCTCTGGGAAGAACTGGTCCCTTTGGAATGTGCCTTGAGAGATTTTTTTCCAGCAAGTGGTACTGTAATGTAAGAGGCTTCCTATAGAACTGAAATATCTTCTTTGCTTCTAAGATACCAGATGGAAAAAGGCAAAGTCTCTTTTTATCTAAGTGTCCACCAGGAATTTCCTTGGGTTAGTATGTGCTGAATGCTTTGGGGGCTTCGTTAGAATTTGTTCTTCATTCTCAGCTGTTAAGGCTTGCGATGTAAAAGTGCAGCTCCTTTCTCTTTTCCCCTCTGTGTTCATACAGGTAAGACAGAGTGATACATTGACTATCTTAGAATATACGTGCATATACTAAAGTATATGTGAAAATTCCTGGCATTTCATAAAGAATACTATATTTTTAAAGCCTTTGTGCCATTTAAACATTCCTTGTCCAAAAATTTCAAGACATGATCCTTCATCTGCATTTTGTTGGTAGCTAGCTATATCTTTAATGTGTTTGAGTCTATGTCCACAGACTCCTTAGAATGCATACAATCCTCCCCCAGCCTCTCCAGGAAGATTTTTTCCAAGCTACTTCAGGTTCTTTTATGCTGAGAACATGGGGCGTGATTCAAGGGGTCAATATTACCAGTTGTTGGAGCTCTGGTTCCAACAACTGGTTGTGAGGCTGCTGCAGTCAGTTTCCTTGGATGGCATTACAGCAGGGGATTATATTTTCATCTCGGAATGGAAGTGAGAAGTAGATTATGAATTAAAGTAAAGCTTTTTTGTTGGAACTCCTTTAACACTGGACTCTTTTCAAAGGTATCAGTTTGAGTTAAAATGGCAAAAAGCAAAAGTTACAAAAATAGTTCAATTTCACAAAGGCTTAATAAATAAAATTTACAGTTCAGGTTTATGTGCATGATATATTTAAATGAAATGCCAAATAAATAAAATGTGCAATGTAGTTCTTTAGAGATGCATATTCCTCAGCTAAGTGATACCTAGCTAAGAGACATCTTTGGATAGTAGATCTAAAACAGCAAAAATCTTTTAGAAGAGCTTTGAAAACCTGCATTATGAATATGTTTGGTAGACAAATACAAAATTAGAAAATATTTCTCAGGGCTTTGAAAAGTCTGTAAGACTCAAGCAAAATGCTAACCAAAAGAGGAGTGAGGGGGAAGGTACTTGGTGCAGAATCTATGGGCCTGCTTATGGCTTTGCAATAGGGCACTGAAAATCTTACAGACATTCAGACTAGGTAGAGAGCATCTTGGTATGGGCAGCATGCCATCATGTTCTGTCAACGCCCTGGATGGAGCAATATAGAATAAAGCTGTCCAAGGTGCTGAATGGAGAAGGGCTCCCCTAGACACCACTTCAGTCAAGAGTCACTTTAGCTTCCTGTGGATTTTCTCCAGCCATGATTGTGGAATCAGTTGGGAAAATGTTTGATCTATGTCTCCCATTTTATTGGGATGAGTGTATAAGTATGACACACTTAGCAGGTTGCTCTATTTCAGGCATGGGCAAAACTTTGGCCCTCCAGGTGTTTTGAACTTCAATTCCTAGAAAGCCCAGACAGTTTACCAGCTGTTAGGAATTGTGGTCGTTAAAGTCCAAAACACCTGGAGGGACAAAGTTTGCCCATGCCTGCACTACCTCCTAAATAGAAGTGCAAGGGAAAGATCTGTGACTGGAGAGCATGGGACTTCTGTGGTAGATTCTGGAGTGCAGGGCTTGGAGAGAAGGGAGGAGTCATGGTGGAGTTCATGAGCTAGATACTGTTTCAGAATTTTTCAGTCTCCTACCAGAGCTGGAAGAAACATTAACAACCTTAGATATGCAGATGACACCACTTTGATGACCAAAAGTGAGGAGGAGCCGAGGAGTCTTCTAATCAAGGTGAAAGAAGAAAGCGCAAAATCTGGGTTGCAGTTAAACATAAAAAAACCAAGATTATGGCAACAAGAATGATTGACAAATGGGAAACAGGGAGAAAACGTGGAGGCAGTGACAGACTTTGTATTTCTAGCTGCAAAGATTACTGCAGACACAGTGCAGCCAGGAAATCAGGAGATGCTTACTTCTTGGGAGGAGAGCAATGACCAATCTTGATAAAATAGTGAAGAGACATCACACTGGGAACGAAGATCCGCATAGTTAAAGCAATGGTATTCCCCATAGCCACCCACGGATGTGAGAGCTGGACCATAGGGAAGGCTGAACGAAGGAAAATAGATGCTTAAAATAGATAGCTGTGGTGCTGGAGGAAAGTTCTGAGAGTGCTTTGGACAGCGAGAAGATCCAACCAGTCCATACTACAGGAAATAAAGCCTGATTGCTCATTGGAGGGAAGAATAGTAGAGGCCAAGATGAAGTACTTGGCCACATCATGAGAAGAAAGGAAAGCTTAGAGAAGACAGTTATGCTGGGGAAAATGGTAGGAAAAAGGAAGAGGGACTGACCAAGGGCAAGATGGATGGATGGTATCCTTGAAGTGACGGGATTGACCTTGAAGGAGCTGGGGGTGATGATGGCCAACAGGGAGCTCTGGTGTGGACTGGTCCATGAAGTCACAAAGAGTCGGAAACGACTGAACAAATGAACAACAAAAACACCAGAGCTGGGTACCTAGTGTCCTTTGCAACATACAACAAATACAGCATTATCTTCTTTCCATGTACAAAGGAAAATGCATAGAGCTGGGGTGGCTGGTGGTTTGTTTTTATTAAAAAGCCCTTTCAAGACTCTGAGGCTGGCCAAGGGGCTTTAGGGAGAAAATGCATTGCTTTTCCTGGGACCAGTGTCATTGGTGGATGTGATCAAAACTTTCAAATCACAATGTTTAAATTATGAGCTCCATTCTTCTGTTTGTAGTGAGGGCGTGAAACCCTCCATTTTTTACGCTGGTGGAATAGGTAAAGAAAAGTCCTAGAGGAAGGCAGATTGTGGTGGTTCAAAAAGACCCAGGATTGGCATATTGCTTTCTTTTGGCATGATCATTGTGCTATCTCATTACCTTCAGGCAGAAGTTAACTTGTTACAGTGTTTCCCAAACTTTGGCCCTCAAGATGCTTTTCTCTTTAGCTTCCATAATTCTAGACTGTTGGCCAAGCCGGCTGGTTTTTTTTTGGGGGGGGGGGGGGGGTGAAGTCTGTGGACCACCATTTGGGAACCACTAGCCTATGGCAATAAAAAGTAGCACGACTTTTTACAACATTTGTGGGGTTTCAAAGTAAGAGTGTCTACCAAAGTGTTCAGAGTAGTGAGATCAACAATATTCCTGCCTTTATATAAAGAGAAGCTTCTTTTTGGGAGGGGGAGGGGGTGAGCTGGTAGGGCGCTTGTTAAGGCAACAAATTCATTGCTCCTCTCTGCCCTTTAGAGTTTTACTTTTGTCAGCACTTTCTTGGCTTTAGGCATTGGAGATCTTCTTACACTAAGGGACAACTGCTGCATTCCAAGGGGGGGAACGGATTCCTTCTGGCACTCCTTCCACTTTCCATAAAGTTCTACAAATAACTAGGGAGTCAATGTCAGTGGGAAGGAGACAATTCCTTTCTGTGGTGCTTTGTCTGTCTGCCTTAATCATGACCTACGCAATCAGAAGAGCCCCTCAAAGCCGCTGAAAGTTGTGGGAATGCCAATCATCCTTGCAGGTCTTTGTTTTCCTTGTTCATTGTATGCCTATAAGTTGTTTACAGCCTGTGGCAATTCTAAAGCAAACCTTTTCTTGGCAAGATTTGTTCAGAAGTGGTTTGCCATTGCCTTCCAATTAAGCCAGGCATCCTCAAACTGTGGCCCTCCAGCTGTTTGGGCCTCCAACTCCCAGAAGTCTTAACAAGCTTGTTTGTCAGGAATTCTAGGAGTTGAAGGCCCAAACAGCTGGGGGGCCGCAGTTTGAGGATGCCTGAATCAGGCCAAGGAAGTGTATTTTTTTCAAGGATACCCAGTAGATTTGATAGCTGAACAGGGATTTGAAACCTGGACTCCAGAGTGGTTGGCCAACATTCAGACTTATCGTGTCAGAAGTGAGCTGAGAGTACAGTTATAATGTATTTAAAAACACAAAGTTAAAAGAACGTGCCTTTGTACTAAATGCCCTTTTAGTACAATGCTAGCCACTTGGAATGCCTCTGGTGTCGTAAGAAGGTCCTCCATTGTGCATGTGGCAGAGCTCTGACTGCATTGTAGTAAGTGGTCTGTGGTTTGCTCTTCTCCACACTCACATGCTGTGGACTCCACTTTGTAGCCCCATTTCCTAAGATTGGCTCTGCACTTCGTGGTGCAAGAGTGCAGTCTGTTCAGGTTGCCTTCCAAATCACCCAGCCTTCAGTGTGCCCAGGAGAGAGTCTCTCATCTGGTATCAGCCATGGATTGAGGTTCTAGGTTTTAGCCTGCCACTTTTGGGCTCTCACTTGCTGAGGTGTTCCAGCGAGTGTCTCTGTAGATCTTAGAAAACTATTTCTAGATTTAAGTCGTTGACATGCTGGCTGATACCCAAACAAGGGATGAGCTGGAGATGTCTCTG